TTTAAATTCTTCATCATATAATAATATATAAAACTTATTAAATATTGAATGTTTGGTAATTTTGGAAAATTAGGACTAAAATCGGTGCAAACTTAGAATACCATTCAATGTTAAGCACAATATATTTCTAAATTAATTTAAAGATAATAAGAAGCGATTGCGTTGTTAAGGGGACAGTCAAGTAGGGTATGGCCAAAGTACCCCTCACTCACATCTCATTCACCCAAACATTTAAGCATTGATTGGCAAAACGTCTTGTCTGTCCCCATACGCTAACAACGGCTCCATTAATTCATAATGCGTTCAATCCTTGAGTTTATGCCATTCAGCGATTTGTCTTCTGGGAGAAGAGATAACGTCCTGCCAATGCTTTTTAGTAGAAGAATCAGTTTTTGGTCCCAATTCTAATTTGCCGATCACTTCATTCTTGGTAACCCTGTCGTAGTCGAGCACTTGGAACTCAATGCTCACGTTCTCCAGACCCTCATTGTATGGGATGTCAAACACAAAGCTCTCGTTAAACACCGGAGAAGTGGTTCTCTTCTTGACGTGTGTTCTCTTCTTAATAATCTTTTGGTTGTTATGAACCAAATATATCTTCACGTATGGATCTATTGGCCAACAAAATTAATTATTGATCTGAATTTGTTTAAAAAGGAATTCATTTCTAACCACAAAGTCCTGTTAAATCCATTTTTGGCAAATTCCGAGCTTTTAGTACAACAACAGTCAGCCGATTGGCCGCCGGTTGATAGCAGAGGGAGACCAGGATCTCTCCCCTTCCCTGTAGTCTCATCTGAATTAAATGAATAATTTCATATCAAAAATCTAATCCTTTTTTAATAAAAGTAAATAATTGATTACTTTATGACTTCGGGGAGAAATGTCTTTTGTGATAAGAATCTGTTTTTCCAATGAATCAAATTCTAACAGATTTAACTGACAAAACACTTCTCCGATTACATCATCTCTTGAGTATCGATCAAAGCTCAAGACAACAAAATGAAGAATTGTTGTCTGCAAATGGTTTGGATTGATTCCATAGAATGTAAAGTCTTCGTCATAAACTGGATTTTGGGTTTTGCGCAATACTCGGGTCTTAACCTTAAAGTCAAATTATTTGTTCAAAATATGAGAATTAAAATATATTATATTTAATATAATTGTTAGTAAATTTGATTTTTACTTTATGTTGTTTTTCTGGTAACAATTGAAGCTTAATATAGGGATCAGAACTTCCAAAGTTGGGATCTTTTGGGGGCAAATCCGAGCACTTGATTATTGTCACACAAAGAGCTCGCTTTTGGTAATTATATTTCAATTTGAAGTGAAGTTTTCCTAAATATAATTCATTCATTGATTTTGACTCATTTTCCTTATCCTCGCACTCGAACTGTTGGAATAATACAACAAATATTAAAAACAGTTAACAATAGATACAATTTCTATTATATTTTATAAAGTAATGCTTATATACTGTATATTCTTAAAAAATACAATTTTTCATTTTATTTACTTTATCTAAATGTTGGTAAACTTGATCTCCAATCAAATGCGGTTCCATATGAAGTGATACTTCATTCCCGCCATCACTTGTTGGACTCCCTCTTACGCCAGACTTTCCAATACTTCCTGTATTTTAATTTAAAAAACCAATTAAATTTAATTATAACTAATTCTTTATTTAATGCAAAATTTAAAGGATTTGTTATATTTTCTATTTAAATCACATTCAAAATAATAAATGACTTAATTATAAAGTTGATAAATATTTAATAAAATAATATACAAAATCAGTACAAACCCGGCGGCGATTTATTTCCTGTAGGACTCGGACTCTTCTTAAGAACAGTCGCAGAACCGGGACTTTTGACAGCAGAAGACTTCTTGAATGATAGCGACTGATCGACAGGAATATTACGCTTAATTAGAAGTGTTTTGTGTCCAAATTGATCGCTATTTCTGCGTTTATAGAGATAGCAAGTGGTGGCGGCGATCACTATAATGAAGAAAGCACTTCCAGTACAGACAGCCACTACTGTCGCCGCCGCTGACGCTATTGTCATAGTATTTATAAAGAAATGTTTAAAGTTAATAATATATTTTAACAATATTCTATACTATTCTATATTGTGCTTGTTATAAGTTATATATAACTTATTATATTATAACTTTAATGATATAAAAGGAACTACTTAATTATACATGTTAATTTATACCATTATAACCTCGTAAGATATAAATATTTAATATAGTTGAATAATTATTTTAATAATATGTATTATAGAAAAATTAATTTGTACTAACTCTATTAAACGATAAAAACGTTACATTAAATGGCAAACATAAAACATGATAAATTATAAAAGCAAAAATTACAGAGATTCTGTACTCAATGAAAGACCATTTAAAATTATAATACAATATGTTTACAATGATTGAGTAAATTGTAATCATAACAATATTACTTACAATTATCGATAGTATTAACATGTGTTGGCCTTTCGGGGCCATAATGTGGCGGTTTTACATGGGTATCAAAACGCTTCATATCATTTCATTTACAGATTCAGTTAATCTTCAAATAATATTCTTTAAGATATTACAAGCAATTACTGAAAGAATACTTCACAACATGGCTTCTACTGCTATCATATTGTGTATGAGTAAAGCCCACACATTGATATCACTATAGCATTACTGCACTCTTATATCCTATAAGAAGTGTTACGTCAAAAGAGCAACAGAATATTCTGTGTATTCTTATTCTACACATACATTGCGATAACAATAACAGCAATTCTATACAAATTACGTTTACTGACTGTGAAAGTGGTTACAGAAGGTTAAGTTACACATTATATTCATTTCTTTGTCATATAATCATTAATATCTTTGTTTAAAACTAAGTCTCTGTTTCAGACATTTTAATACTCTGACGTTTGATTGGAGCAAATTTACAATACTGTGAATATACATTATATAAAAGTAAAATGTAAAAGTATATAA